AACGATTATTTATCGTCTTTTACCGAGCTAAACATCATATCAAGAATATTTCTTTTGGTAAAAATAGTTGTATATATATGTCAATTCGACAAGTGATATTTTCGTATGATTATTCTGTGTTGATCGTTATTATAATGTATATAAGCAAATATAAAATCATTATTTTCTTCATCGAACTCGACTACATTCTTAAAATCAGAAAGAACAGCCGATCTTAGTTCAAATGTTGAAGTTGATTCTCCACCGTAAGGGTGTATCGTAGTTACTTCGAGACCTTTTCCATCGTCTTTCAAAATAAAGAGTAAAAGGCCACCATTTTTCAAATTTTTTACATTCAAAAGATGCTTAAGACCGTAGAAGAATTTTGTCTCTCTGTTGTATTCCATACCGTATTCATTGAACTGCACACAATTCACTGTAGTAGATTTTTCAACATTGAAATTGCTCCAACAAATTGTGTAATTTGATTGCTCTAAGTTAGTTATTATTTCATTGGCTTTAAATACTAAAAGTCGTTTAACAACATCAAAGTTAGGTCTAGTGAGTAATAGTTCGTAGTTATTCGAATTTTTATTGATCACGAATAATCCTTTGGAACGCGATATCGTTGAAGCTGGTTGTATACTGTACGGAGCGACGTCAACTGAGAAGATACTGTCTTTTCCAATCTGGTAGCCGTCGACGTCGTATCTGGTACGAGAATTCGTGAAACCGATAGAGGATATTACGTCGAAGCCATTCTTATAAGGAATTGTTTCAACAAAGTTTTTATTATTTGTTAAATCCCATGGAATTGTTACACTATTCGCACTTTTACATGATCTGATATCGACAGGAATGATTTTCGTATGAAATTCGACGAGTAGTGCGGAAGATACTGGTTGCTTTGATATCGCGAAAATATTCCAAATGACGATTACTTTGTTGTCGGTCAGTTGTCTGATTTTTTGGACATCGATTTGCGCCATATTTTCACTAATATTAAATGATAATTGACACTTATATCTGCTGGTGTAGATGGTGTAGTTCACGGTTTGCGAAGCTTCGTACCAACCATGGGATGGATATTCAATTACGGGAAATTGAGTGGATTTGATACCGTCGCCGAATTTCACTAATGTATCTTCTGATAATGTTGTAAAATCAATAGGTAAACCAAACTGTTGCGAGTTTTCACTTTGAGTTTTTGATGATAATCCTATTAACAGTAACCCCACATATGTTAATCTAGTTAATGACTTCATTATTGATTGTAAAACAATTCAGTGTTTACTGGAATCACAGATAAACTTTATTTTATTCACAGATAATCTTCTGCAAAGCAAAATTTTGTTTACGATACTAGTTGTTCTTATTTTATTTCTAACTGTATAGTACTAAGTTTAACTTCGGACTAGTGACGAATGTAACAGTCAATGCAAAACTGATATTCTCATGTGAAACATCCAGTATACCAACATATTTCTCAATCTGAGATAAATAATATTGTGAAGCGGACATGATGGAGATAACGCGGAGATAGAAAACTGAATTATCAAGAAATTACGCTAATGAATTTCGAAATTGTCACTTATCAAACAGGAAAGTAATATTTCTCATTAGTAATTTTTTGTAACATTAATGACGACTGCTTTATTATAAATTTGTCCAAAATATTGTTTTTGTAATAAAATAATTAGGACTATGGTAAATAATGCATCAATAGAATTTAATAAATTTTTATTAGTTCCTTAGCTACATAATTCTGAAATTATTTCATTATTTAAAATATTTTGAAATCATTAACTATTTGCACCTGGCAAGTAATATTTTTGCAGCACGATCTTGTGTTCGTGAACAGTTTCGATTTCACAGGCAAACACAAAAGTACCATCAGACTCATTGAAATCTACAATCCTTCTATTAGCGGACATTGACCGAATCTTATAATTCAAGGTCTTGACTTCGAGATTGGGTTTTATCACGCTAACGTAAAGCATTTCCTGCTCTCCATTGAAAGTAAACAGTACAAGTCCACTATCATTTAAACTGCGTATTTCCAAAAGCCAATCATGTTTAGGTATCGTGCTCAATTGATCTCTATACTTTTCGTTGCCCAATAAATCAAACTGTACACAATTAACTATCATCGTTTCGTTTTGCATGATATCATTCCAACAAATCGAAAATAACGAATGGCTAATATTACTGACGACATCAATAGCTTCTGATTCAATTAAATCTTTTAACTTTTTCCCGTTAAAATCGATAAGAATCAACTTGAATATCGAATTCTCGCGAGTGACTATGAAGAAACCTTTGGGATGAGGTTCAAGTGATAAAGGATCGATAGAATGTATCACGTCATTGAAAAGAAACGGTTTTAATTCATCAACTTTCTGACCCTCCGGATCATAAGTCGTATAAGAATTTATAGAATTTATTGAAGAAATCACATTGAAACCATTTTTGTACAAAGCGGTAGTGACAAAGTTTTTCTGATTGTTTTGATTCAAAGGAAATTTCAAATGATTTGTAATTTTGCAGGTATTTACGTTGACAGTTGTGATCCTAGCGACAAATTGACGAAAACGCCTTCCGGATAAGACTTCGTCCCAACGAATCATTACTCTTTTTTCATCAAACTGCGTTATTTTATCTATCATTGCATTGAGCACTTTTACATCACTTAAATCTAGTAATAAGCTGCACTTCTCATGTGCACGCGTGTGGATGATGCAGTTGATACGAACCGGATCATAAGTTGTGTTGGATTCGATGATCGGTAAATAATTTGAATTGGTGCCGAACCCCAGTGTCACGTATGTCCTATTTGATAATTTTATAACCTCTGCAGGGCCATGGTCATCTATGTTTTTGCCGTAACAGTTAATCGTAACAATCAACAATAACAGGCTTACGATTATCAAGTTTCGAACTATTTCCATATTTGTTGCGTTTTAGCAATTCCTTTTCTAGAATAGTTTACACTATTAAAAGTAATTTCAGTTTTAGTAGTACACACCTCTGCAGGAATTATAAGTTATATGTCATCGCACCGAGAGTTGAAACGAAACTGCTATGTCTCAGAGAAAATAAGTGACGCGGTGATGAAATCCATCTAGCATGCTTGTAAAAATTGCATAAGTTTTTAAATAAGCGCTTAAGTAATGTTATCAAAGAATGATTAAACCTTTTGAATGATGCTAGTCTCATTGGATAAGCCAGTATCTCACTTCTGTTTGACATGTACGTCTAGTATATTTCTATGCTTGTTGGAATCTTGTCTGTGGATGTTTTTTTTAGCTTTCAAAATCATCCTAACTTAGGCGAATACTACGATGTCCAGATAAAACTACTCTTTTGTTGTTTTCCTTAGCATCACCAGGACTTAGACGTCTTACTTTTTTATATATTCATTTGTTAGTCTATAAACGGGCTTGAAAGAGTTTCAGCAAAACATTCAACATTTCACTCGGCTTCACGAATTTTTTGCTTATGACATTCAGAAAAATTTCACTCATTCAGCAATAAGATTTATTGAAGTACGTTCAATTACAATGGGATTTAAAAAAAAAAGAAATATTAATTAGTTGGATTATATAGGCATCTATTAACAGTAATATAATTTGTAATTAACAGTAATATAAAAGTGATAAACTAATTTCATCTGAAAAATGAACACTCAGGGATAAGAAATATATTTTTAATAAGACTTCGTAATCTATTCTTCGGATTTATTATTTTCTTATACCAACTAAAAGGTACCGTACATCTTATCAAAATTGATTATTTTAAATGAAAGAGTACTCGATTCAAGGTACTTTTCTTACAATTAATTTATGTTTTACATTTCTTATTGGATCGCGCTGCATCGGTTAGACATATATTTCAAACATCGTCGTAAATAAAAAAGATAGAAACTTTTTTATGGATATTCATATGACTATCGCATATATTATTGCCAAGCAAATAATAACGCATAAATCATAGTTTCATTGCTCCGACAGATGGTCAAGGTCGATTGATCGATACGTGCTTCAAAAGTTAACCACGATAATATCTGTTCTATTTCCTTGCCGTCAAGCTTTAACGAGGTTCAACTTCAATTGTTTTGGTTGATCATTACCACTAAGTCCCTCGATCAAGAAAAATCCCTGAAAGTGTGATTTGGTTAATACTGAATGATTTCAAAAACATTGGCAAAAGTAATGTTCAGCTATCTGATTACCTTTAAGATCGTAATTCCTACTACGGAGTTATGTCTTGTTTACGAGGGTAACAACGTCAAAATTATTATTATAAAAGATAACTAAATAATAATATTCTTGATTCTACGGGTATTTTGGGAATGCCGATACATTGGAATTTTCACATGTGCTCATGTCGATAATTATAATTTTTGAATTATATTATTGAAATATCTCAGCGAATCAACTTTTTGAGCCTTATTCTGTACTATGGCTCTGTTATTATTCTACTGATGTATATAACATTCAGCCATGTACTTTGGTAAGGTTATTGGATGTACATATATTGTTATGGATTCGCTTGGGATTCGTACAAACAAGTAAAGGCCGATAACTTGATTTGCTTTTGAAGTAGGAACCAAGTACCTCGATGCATATTTCATTGTAACTTCTCTAGAGTATTGGAAAATTTCTGTAAGATTATTTTTTTTACGATTTTACTTTATATACTTATTTTTATTATTAGTCCAAAGGAAATTACAATCAATACGAGCTTCATAATCAAACGCGATAGTGCCGCAATACACTATTGTATCAATGACTTGAATGAATAAATGAATTCTGACAAACTAATGCGTAGTGCATAAGTATACAAATATGACACATGGGTGGGGATATAAATTTATAGATTGCGATATATATGCTGGAAAAGTTTTGTCATAACAAGATTGTGGATATTTGCATAACTATGCATATAACAATTCAAAAAAAATTTAATTTAGGGCTCGTTTAAATGTTAAACTTCATTAGACTTTTATTTAAATAGTTTTTTCCCACATCCCCGACTTCACAGTAATATGTTTTTGATCATTAAAATCCGGTCATACCTCTGAGGGGTTTATGATCTTCGGCTTGGCATCGAGGTGGCTATCTGCCTATAAGAGAATAGCTTACTTTTCTCTTACTTTGTATCATGATTTTTCAAGTTATCTTCTTTAAATATTCATGAAATATTAAATAGGAGAATCTGAGGACTGATTAGGAAGTAGCGATTTTAAATAATATTGAAAAATGTCATTGTATTTCAAATTACTGATTGGGTACGATCAGATCTACTTTTTAATGCAAAAATATCCTTTATTTATCTATACAAATATTCGTCATAATTATAAATATACATAAATTAATGAAAATTGTAATATACGCATTTTTCATAGATTTATTAACCTTGCTGTCCCAGTGAACCTGGTAATTTGTATTTTTGTAATACAAACCCTTTGACATCTGGTGCCGTATCATCCTTATCTATATATGCGACTATAAATGTTCCATCTTTTTCGTAAAAATCTGCCAGTAGTATTTCATTAGTGCCCGCATTAATATTATAAATAGATTGTTCGGGTTCTCGGTCAAGATATGCTACAGTAGCCCGGATCTTCGTCAAGTTCTTATTGTACGCGAAACGTACGAACCCACCATTTCTCAAGTTTCGCAGTGCAAATAATTTTTCCGAGCTAGGATGCTCGAGTTCTTTTTTAAATTTTTCGTTGGCCAATTCATCGTACTGCGCGCATTTGATCTTGTCATTGTCGAGTGTGTCGTCGTCCCAGCAAACAGTCAAAAATTGTTTGGATTGATCTTCTGCTATTAATTGATATGTACGAATCTCCAGCAATTCTTTATAAAGTGTGCCATCGTCAAGAATCAGGTTCATCTTGAGCTGAGTATCATTGGAAATGGAAGCGAAGAAGCCCTTGGATCGCCACCTTCTTGATACAGGTGCCAGCTTGACAACATCTCCTTCGGGAAGACGAAAGACTTTAGGTCTTTCATAAGTTGGATTACCATTAAGGTCAAAACGAATTCTTTTGTTTGTACTAGTTATCATGTCAATGCCATTTTCGAAAATGATTTTAACTAAATTCGTCTTATTTAGTTGCAAATGTTTCATCACTTCACACCTATCCGTGTCGATTAAAGTAATTACATTATTCTGATCCTTTCTATCTGACTCGACGATTACTTTGTTACCAGTAACCTGAGTGACCGAGAGTACAGAAGTATCAGAAGGATGTTTTTTATCTATGATCACGTTGCACTTGTCTTGGTTGCGGGTGTAAATTGTACAATTTGCCGATTTAATGTGCAAGCATTCGATGAAGACAACCTGATTGTCGTCAATACCTTTGCCTAGTAATATTTTTGAGTCTTTCGAGAGTCCTTTGAACTTTAATAGCCATGTGCTGTCATCTATTTTCCAACTTTGAGTGACAGTTATAACAGCAAACAGTGCGAAAAATACAATCGATAACATACTGAGCAATCCCATCCTTAAATCTTGTTTTTCTTCTAAAACAAAAATTTCATTTTCAGAAAATGATGTTGTTCAATTCACATAAGTAAACTGATTTCAGAAAACTGATTTCACCTCAATTAAAATTATAAAATTTGAAGCTGTTATTGTTTAGTAGAACGCGATCTCTTCTTGCACAAACACTACAACTTCTAGTACGATACTACCATTTCTTTAAAGACTCCCTTTCTTAAATCGACCACTACTCTGACTCCCAAGTCATGTTGTGAAATTCGATAAGATTTGAAATTGACGCAGACAGTTTTATCGCCTTATAACCAGCCACTTTTTGTCCTGCTTTTTGTACATGAGGGTTAAATAATATATTAAACTTTATATTTTGTCATTCAAAGCAAATATCATTTATTATAAATAAAGTAATCACTATTAATTGTCCTGTGAATTTCTATAAGTTTTCGTTCAGTTGTAAATTTTGATTAATGACTTAAAACGATTTTTTAAGTTATAAGCAACTTCTTTTTAAATAGATAAAGCAGTCGATTGTCAATATAAGTGCAAAAATTACTGGATCTATTGCTTTCATGTATTTAAAACTTTTATAATAATTATTGAAATGGTTAACTCTTAAAGTTTTCAGTCAACAGTGTCTTTCGTAATATATTCTATCTTATCACTAAGAAAATGGTACAAAGACGATTAACGACATTGCAATATACGTACTTTTTCAAAATTGTTTGTGATAGTCATTATCAATTTTCATTAAAAACTATTAAATTTTTTATGATGACACATTATTTTCAACATCTAAAAATATAGTATATTATTCATCAACTGAAATAAGGCATTAAAAATCTCAAAATTTGTTAATTTTTCATATTAATAACATTAATACAAAATACAATCTTACGTTAAGATTAAAATGAGTCATGAGTCTATATTCTCTTTCAATTTTAACGTGAGTTTTTCGAAAACTCGATAGTTTTTATAACCACTTTATGTTTAGGCTCATTACTCTCATATACAATAGTAAACTTTCTTTCAGATTGACTCACTTGTATCACAAAATCACTTCCATTGCAAGCATGCCATTTTAATTCGATATTCTGAATTTCAGTTTGTACACCAGGAATCATTTTAGCTATTAATAACTTTGCATTTTCCTCGATTGCAAACAACAAAACACCACCTCTAATCAAACCATGTACACCTATGAATTTCAATTGCCTGGACAATGTCATTTCTGTCTCGAATACTTTACCTTTCGAAATGTGATATTGTGCGCAAACAATCAACTCCACGTTATATATATCTTGACCGCAAATAACGTACCATTTCTCACTCTCTGCGTGACTTATTATCCTATGTCTAGCGCGTAAATTCAGCAAGTTTTCAACTCCGCTTTTGACGAGATATACCTGCGTCGCTGAATTTTCTTCGGTGTTCGTACCTCGCATGAAAAAGCCCTTTGAGCGTAATTTTTTCGACACTGATTGCCAGGTCATCCAAGAAAAATTTAGCGGCAAGAAGTTTATATCATAGAGCTTCTTACCATTAATGTCGTATCTCTCACGACAGTTGGTTGCTGCACCGCAATCCCAGCCACTCATAATAACGTCGAAACCTTCGTCGTAGTAAACAATCACATCTTTTGGAATTTTTCTTACTGACACTGGATAGGTAATATTCTGAACATATTCGCAATGCAGAATATCGATGACTAAGATCTTTCGAATATCCATAGCATAACTGAAAACCTGCTCTTTAGGCGAATGTTTCCATTCTGTAAGTACGTGACGTTTACTCAGCTGATTGACTGAAATCAATTCTATTGTGTCTATATCTGAATCTGTATAGTGATCTAGAATGCATTCATCATTGATTTCGTCTACTAGATTATCGAGACGAATTGTAAAGTTTACGAATGTAGGTTCACCGGGAAACGTATTCCATTCGACGCTAAGTAGATTGTTTTTTTCGTAAACACTGTTCAATTTTACGCGAGTTCCTTCTGATAGATCTATAGTTTGTATTGTGCTTGAATCCTCACAATTAGTAAGTGACAGAATCAATATCAGTAAGAAAATAATGGTGACTTTATTCATTTTTACTTTTGGATTTTCAAAAATGGAGAACGTCTCTGATAGTAGTATCTCCTATTTATAAAAACTTCAGGTACAAGTACTACTAGTATTTATTAAACAGAGAATTTGATGAAACCGACGTATGAATAACATGCATTACACGATGTGTTTGCCTTGACGGTTTGCATTACACTGCTTGCGATAAGCTTGAGCTTACAGTTTCACGCTGACTAACACACATTATATCTTGTGATTAAGTAATAGGGAGACAGATTTCATATTCTACGTCATAATACTCTCTGCTTTTCTCTCTGTTGAGAGGTATAAAAAAATTTGTACCTATAAGTACATTTCTATATCTGCTTGTAATTAACAACATATTCTGCACGCAAATATTTAGTCATTTTTAAATCGAATAGAAAAGGAATTAAAATAAAAGAAATACCTACTTTATATTATTTCAATAACAACAATATTCAAGATCTTTTTCTATAATTCTTCGTGTTTTTGTCGATTAATTTGAAGAATTGCATCACAACACAGTGATTAAATTCGTAAGTTTCACCGATCAACGTAAAATGTAAATTATTTCTTTTCTCGCGAAAGTCAATGATAGCACTTTCGAATTTATTTATCGGCCATTTCAATTTGACACTTAGAATTTTCGGTCGATGACTCAACCGCATCTCTACGGCAATAAGTTTCAATTCATGTTCAAGTCCAAACAATATCATTCCACCTTCATTGAAGTTACGTACACCAATAATTTGTGTATTCTCGGGCAACTGAAGTTCTTGACGGTACATCGGTTGATTTCCACCCATTTGTACGCAAAAGAAACTTTTCGAATCGTTGCCACTAAATTGAGCACAAATGGTATTAAATTTATCCTGCGTGCAGGTTACCATTTGTTCTTTAAAATCGTCGTTAACAAATGTTAGAACGTCTTTGACCTGCTTATCTCCATAACCATGTTGAGTTAAACCTGCAGGAACCGATGACGTTCCAATTTTATTGCCTCGAAGTTCATAACTGATGCGAGTTCTTCGTCCTTCTCTGTGTGCTATTATAACATCGAAGCCATCTTTGTACAGAACAATAACTTGAAGATCATACCAGTTTGTCCGGTTCTTCGGAAATGTTAAAGTTACCGTGTTAGTACAGTTGTCGGCGTTAACCGTTGTGATTTGTCTTGTTAACGATTTGACATCACTTTGCAACTGCTGCCAAATTATAATAACTTTGTTATCGGCAAATTGATATAAAGACTCAACTTCAACCGAGATAATGCCAACGTCCGCAGGTAAAACGAGATTACAATTGCCTTTTACCGAACGAATATTTAACGTACAATTCAATTCTAACTGTTCTCGAAAATTGACGCATTCGATGATTGGAACATCATTCGGATCGTCACCTCTACCCAATTTTACTTGGGAACCTTCTTGTAGATATAGATGAACTGCTGAATCCTGCTTAGTTGTCGAGCCTCGTATATTTGATGAGAGTATTATTACATTGAACGTAATAAATAATTTGATCTTTGACTCCATCTAAAACTTTTTCTTATCCAAATATCTAAAAAATTAATTTTCTAGTTTTACAATAAGGAATGTCGTTTAGATTATTATCTACTTACAGAACTTTTAAGTATAACCAGATAAATTGCCACTAAACTGTGTTAGTCGTGTGATCGCCGCGGAGGTCAGCGGGACACTGTCTCCGCAAGCAGACCTGAACTTGGAGACAAGATTAATCGTTACATTACGTAATAAGATTGATGATTTGATTATAACCTTCATGGTTGTCAGAATTGAGCAATGATTATAGCAAATTTGATCTAATAGTCTAATATTTAATTTCTTCTAAAATCATAATACGTTTTTCTGTCATTCATAATATTTACCAATTTTTGTATAACCACTGCTTTGCAATTCCTATGTACTTTGAACTAAATTTATTTATTTATTTTTTAACAAATTATTGACACGAATTTATACTAATGTTCAATGATATTCTGCAAATGCTGATCAATCTTACTAGACATAAAATGCTGCAACATGACATTATGCTCGGATTTGTTGATCCCAGTCGTTAAGGCAAAAGTGCTAGTCTTCTCGTAAAAGCTCAAAATAACGCTCATTTCACTGTTAAATTATCTTTTGAACTTATACTTTTAAATATCCAACTGTTGCGGAGATTACTATTACCTCAAATACCAAGCAAAATAATTCCCCCTTTTCTAAAATTGTAAACATCGAAGAGCTTAACCATTTGTTATTGTAATACATTTTTATAATTTCTTATTGCCTTTTCACTTGCAAACTCAAATAACTTTATAAAATTAATATAATTTTATAAAATGTTTATTAATGAAACAGTAAAACAGAGATATGCATAGGACTTGTCAATCAAAGATCTTCTCGAATAATTTTATCATTCGTATTCGTAGTTGTTCGTCAATTTAGAATTATTACCAACAAGTCCAAATAATAAAACATTTATATATAAACAGTCTATTCTAACTTTCGTCTGATTAATTTTATTAATATGTATTTCTCAATTTGGTAGACTTATCTAATTTCAGAAGTCATTTACCATGCACACTGCAAACCAATGTGTAACGTTGATGATTTGATAGCCAGTGTGAGACTGGCTTAGCGATATACAAATTTTATATCAATATTCAAGTATATTAATAAATCGATTAGAGTACGCAAAAATGTACTAGCATAATGGGATTTACCGAAAACGAGAATAACAATTTTTCAATAAGTTCATAGAATTCGATAAATGCTACAGTTAAACTATGTAATTTTACATCATATGTGTATCGTACACTAAAGGATGCTTTAATTAATATATCAAATTTAGTTTTTTTACGAATCAAGCTTCATTTTTAAGTAGCTGTAATGAGTTTACTTGTTATTACTAATATGTTGGAAGGTAATTAGCACAATAATTGAAACTTACCTTTCTATCAGAACTAAAATGAATTTTGTCTAAAATACTATGCCTGCAAAATAAAATTTCAATGAATCAAATGTATGTATTAACGTGTACACGCAATACAACGCAGTAAGTATTTATCAGCTAACTTTGTCATGAAAGCAAGTACAAGTGTATCAGTTTTCATGGTAATAACATCAGTATATTATAGACAACGCTGATCAGGCATTAACAATGACATTTTGTTTGTTGAAACTCAACACCAAGCTCGACTTCTCTTACTCACCAGCTACTTTAGTTTACAACACTGAAGTGGCAGCTATCGGTTTGCGGCATTGCTTACGAACATACAACTTCATAACGAGCATAGAACTACCATCTAATAAAGGAAGTTAAGACTATATTATTTTTACGACTATAAGAAGCCTTAAAAAGATTGAATATTGGAGCAAATCCCCAAAACTTAAAAAATTCTAGTTACTTCATGATAATCGTGCTATAATAAAGGCAAATCGAAATTTGAAAATGGCTTTTTGTAGGAAAAATGATGATCAATAAGCTTCACTAGCTAATTTTGGACCATCGATTATAGTTATGAAGTTATAATATGTATGATTTCTTCAAAAATTTAAATGGTAGCTCGTTACAAAAATTTGTTTCTTAGTATTGTAAAAAAAAGTTTTGGACAAATAATTTCAAAATTTTTTTGTAAGTACCTTAATATGTTATTGAAATAAATGAGCTTCAAGAATGTACTTCTATCACGCAAAAAATAAAAAATACAAATAGTAGTGTTACTCATTTTATAAAACATCGAAAATATCATAAATTTTTTTTTTACAAAAAAAGTTTTCTATAACTCATATATAAATAATTAGAACGTATTCTAGTCCAAAATATCAATCTAACATAATTTTTTTATTTCTGTGCCTTATAAATACTCTGAGTTTCAGACTTTTGTAGTTAGCATAGTCAGTGAGCCCTCCATATTAAAAAGAGGTGTTTTTTTATCGACACAAGAAAAATACTTTTCTGATTGATGTTTAACTCCAAGCCAATTTCTGTTTAATCTATTTATTTACGTTTCGAACAATATTTAAATTGCATATTCATGGCGTCGACTGGTTGAACGCAATTACAAAAATTATAATAATCTAATATCTATTTGAAAAAAAATGTTAAGTTTAGATTATTCATGCTGTTTTTCAAGAAAAGATTTTGAAAAAATCATGAATTCATATTTTCTAATGCTATTCAAAGCTAACTTCGAGAGAAAAGAAGATTTTAAAAGCTGTGCTTTGAAAAGAATTTTTGTTTTTATAACAAATTTCAAAAGTTTGGGGAATTTGCTCATTTCCATTAAATTATTTCCATATACAAGCCTCGTGTATTCAATATCGCTTTGTAAATCCTTATTTTATCTACGAATCTTATGAGAACATTTACCTCCTGTGCCGTTAGCCATTTATTTATCGAGCAAATTTTTGGGATGAAGTTTTTTATATTTTTACGATATAGTTTTCTAACTGACTCAATCTTTACGACGCGATGAAAGCAAAAATTGCAAGTAGAAATGTTAAGTATCAACTAACAAGTTGAGTTTTTATCTGGAAGTAGGGGAGCGGGATCTTGGTTAAGCTTACGCGTCGATGAACAAGGCGAGTCAGACTATGAATCCGTACGCAGCCAGTGAAAAACTCACTTTTCAGTCAATTATAGATGACTAATCAAACAATTGTGTTATGTCAAACTTTGTATATACTCGTTTGCTGATTTATTTTGATGAGTCCTGAGCTTTCAGCTTGCCCATTTGATTGAAACTTAAACGATCTGTTTTCATCTCATATGCTATCAATTTCGTAATTTTGCGTAGCAGCCGTTGGACGCGTGTTTCGGATCGATATTTTTCTCTTATGGCGATTGTGCATTGCTGACAGCAGCATCAGGACATAAAACTCGACATAAACATCTATGGAGAGCACTTGTCTGATATCAGTAAATTTCATGTGTGTACAAACATTAGCCGGTCGATCAGTCAGTCTTATCAGACAAATGAATTGACATCAATGCAAATTTTAAAGGGAAAATAAGCGATGAATTCAGATTCTTACCAGTGCATCGGAGCTTTTATTTGCTAGAAACTACGATAATGCACATGGATTTAAATAGCTTTTACATCGTACGAAGAACAGTGATAACTTAATAATACTTTGACTAGTTGAAATACATATAATAGATACTTGCAATAGTGAGAAAATAATTACTTTTTAAACTAACGTACTAATACGATGCACATAGTTATCAGGAAGCATTTCTTACAAAACTGTGAAGCTTCAAAATACTCACAAGTTTGCTACGTCAATGTTTCCCTATAATATATAAAAATAAATAAATACTTTATGACTATTCTCTTTTAATTTACGTATTTCTCTAGCTTTATCTGTAATTACTTAGACTCGCAATTATTTTTCTAAGAATTATTTTGATGGCAGGCACGTCAATAACATGTTTTCATATTTGAGAGGCGAGATACTTCCTTTTACAAGAAGATGACAATGAGACAATAAATAATTATTTGATCGCTAGAAATCGAAATGCTCAAGAACTCATCGAGCTGCGTTACGTGCGAACTATCCGCTGTTATGCGGGTATGCAGTAGCAAAATGTACGTTACACCGACACAGGTCGCTCATCGTTACAGTTGACAATAAATAACGGCAGGCTTGCTCCTAGCAACCTTGAAGCAAGCCGCGTCAGGTTTCCGTTGAGTTTTCGCCCTGGTTCTCGCGAAGCTTAGCCGGCAGCGCGAACATCTGCGTAACGAGGCTACGTTTGCCCTCGACGTGCGTCTCGCAAACGAAACCAAAGTTCGCCTCTTTCTCATTGAAGCCCCTTACTCGACACTTTCCCGTCGTGGCGCGCCAATCGATCGGCACCGCAAAGGTGACGTGCCGGTCTTTGCCCATCACCGCGAGCATTATCTCGTTGTCGTCGATCGCCAGCAGCAGCAGACTGCCGTTTCTCAAGCGACGCACGCCCACGACGTCGACGTAGCCGGGCAGACTCGTCCGGTACTCGACCACCTTGTTCGTCGTGGCGTCGTAGTGCGTGCACTCGATGAATCTGGGCTTGCCGACCACTCGGCCACAGATCGCCAGGGAGCCCTCGCCGTCGGCGTGGCTCACGGCTTGCCGAATGTCCGTGCGGAGGCTCAGCGACCTCTTCACGCTGCCCGCCGCCACGTGGCTGACGTTGGTGTTGAGGTCGTCGCTGGTGCCATAGATGAAAATGCCGGCCGAGCGATCTTCCCTGGAGACCGCCAGGGCTGATATGTGCTCCAGTTGAACGGGCAGCGCCTCGACTTCACCCAACTCGTTGCCGGACGAGTCGTAGCTCTCGCGCGTCGACGAGCAGTTCTCGTAGTAGGGTTGGCAAGTGACGACCGCGTCGAAGCCTTCGGCGAACGGCACTACCGCCTGTAAGCGGCGACGAGACCCGAGGAAATAACGATGCAGCAGAGTTTTCACTGAGGCGCACGTGCTCATCTCGACGATGGTGATGCGCTTGATGTAGAAGATCGACTGATAGTACGACAAGCTGCCTCTGCGCGGCTCGAAGTCGCCCCACACGATCATCACTTTGTTGTCGCTGAGCTGATGAATGGACAATAACTCAATGTCATCCATGTCTTCTTTAGCTGCGAGGGTCAACGAGCAGATGTCAGTTGAATTATCCGTCAGGTGAATTGTTACGGTGCACTCCAGCTCTACCGCTTTGTTTGAGTTTATGCACTCGATGACCAGCAGGTGGTTCGGGTCGATGCCATTTTCGAGCTTTACATGGCTGCTCTCCAATAATGGCAATTGTATCATTGAGCTTAAATGTTGACTTTGCACCGCTGAGACGATTGTTAAACAAACGATCAATAATCGATTCATTGTTGTTGCTTTTGCCAAATCTGCAATTGAATGGTTTTTATTTGAAAGATGTTGTGGTTTTTTCATCAGTCGATTGAGAGTGGAGTACGAAATAAAAAATACCATGAACAAATTGGGTTTTCATTGAATTTTGCAAGGAAAATAAAAATCGAACGAAAATATTCACACTCGAAGATAAGTGACAAGACACAAAAATTCACGAAGGTAATGCGACATTCAAAACACGTTATGAAAAGAGGTGGATAAACAAAGTAAAATAAATATCTTACTTGTTAGATGGATGCTACTATGCAGTTTGTTTGTAAAGGTTGTAAACAAAAATACGGAACACACACTGCGTGGCAAAGCGTTTGTTAGGACTGCTAAAACGGAACTGTTCGTGAAAACGTACGATTCGGAACTGGTTGTAAGTGGGAGAAAGAGATTAATTTATATAGACGATTAATTCACACAGCTCGAATGCTCTCGTGTCTTGAAATTGCATGATACGAAGAATGATTTCACAAGTTCGGGTTTCTACGCAGCGAAGAGTATATAGTGCGTCATTGAAGAGAGTGTACGTATAGTCACGCACTCGACTGATATTACGGAGGGAAAAAATTGTGTAATTACTCAACTCTACTTACTAGGGATTCCAAGTGATAAGTCGTGACTTTTACTAAGTGGGCAAGCCTATATAAATTGCTCAAATGCCAAATTATGTAAACAGAACGTTTCAACGTTTCTACTAGAAAATATAATAGGTATAAATCGACAAGTGGGGCGTTAATATAGCACAAAAGAACCAATTGTAAATATGTTTGTCAGTAAGAAATTTATTAGAATCAAAACAACCACAATTTATCGTAACACCTGATAAAGAATATGAAATATGGCCGGCAGTTTGTCTCATTTCGAAACATTGCAATCAATGCAGTTTACAAAACAAAAGAGAGGAGATCGTATTGAAGGGGTCAAGTTTGGCAACACGTCGCATCCCCTTCTCGTCCAGATGCGATAATTTATATATCTGGCGCAGATATCACGCGACTTCCGTTCCTTCATTTTGCTTATCGAACTTACAACATGCGTACGTGTAGCTATGCTTGTCTTTCTCTTCTCTCTTTTTTTCTCTCTGTATCCTCGCGTCGAGTGCTTGTACGACGAAAATTAGTTTCCATCGAATTCGAGCACCATCGAGAAATTTTATGTAATCTGACGTGAAGTTGCTAAAGTGCAAGGTATCGACTTCGAGAATCATTCTTCAGAGCGCAATAATCCATACGCGCAAAAGGCAGATTTCAACTTCCGAATATTCCAACTCTTATTGGCTCAACGACATGCTCACGAAATTTATCACGCTATTAGTATTATATACGGCGATGATGAAAATGATAATTCTACTAATGGCAAAGAGAAAGCGTAGTAAGATAGAGGGTCATCCGGTTTTAATTGGTGGGTGTAGCAATGTCTTTCGAAGAAGCGAATTATCAACACTATTGCGACATTCGTGATCCAACCTCATTTAGTCACGTAGCAATGGTAGCCTTTGATAAATTGACGAGTGAGTAGTATTTGGAAGAAGAATCGTAAGAGTCAAACAGTTTTCATTGATTGGTCGGAGCTGATCTGCCCGACGTTTCTACGACAAGTCGCCTTGATCCCCGCTTTTATCATTTGCATTGTAAATAACTGCGCGCACGCTCATCTCGATCATTCCCACGGGGCTTCGTCACTGTGTAGTAAATAATTGTTAATACAATGACTTTCTTATAATAAACGAATGAACTGTTCAATTCATTCAAGTTGAGCTGCATATCTTTGTCAATGAAGCTTCGATTTGGTTGGCTTGGCAGATGAAATCGTTGAATATCCAAAGGACGCCTACCGCTGCTATCGTATTCTCGGATAAACATGAATCGGCCAAGGCGTTTGTCGACGTCCATAATCAAAAAACGATAAATATTGTGAAAATATCGGATACTACTAAATGAGAGGAGGCCTGTCCGGTCTTATCTCAGCCACAGCCAATTGATACTTGTGGTTGAGCGTAAAGCATACAATGCCGTTATCTTTCAAATTACGAACCTCCGTAGTCGAAGAAATGATTTGGCAGCTTAACTCTCGCCTTAAATTCCGATTATATCGTATTGCGCTCATTCGATCACTTCGCGGACGACCTGGAGAGTACCGCGGACAGTCAACGATCGCTCGTCGTCGACGGCCGTCGACAAATACGACGAACTTGGCAGCGTTCATTTAGAGACCAGCCTACTTTTACCATCAATGATGTAACTTAGTCCAGATTTTACCGACATTGCATCGTACACGAGCAAACCTTTAGATTGAGCCTTTCGCAAAACTGGTTACACTCTGGTGGTGTGATAAATTCCAGACAAGTCTTGGTGTGCATCAATCTTATCACCATTTATGTCGTAGCTCTGACAGCATGCTTCTACCTTTACTGCAGGATAAATCAACTCTTAGTCGAACTTTGCTGGATAGATTGCACTGTTCAAGATTACACAGTTATCCGTTTCGATGAGTGCGATTTTATCAATGGATGGTGTATCCCATTGGTTACTCCAATCGGGAAAAAGCAATATTAGTTAAGTTTTTATCAGTTGCTTGGCTGCAAGTAGTGTGAAGCCTTCTATTAGTGTGGTTGCAACGAGATTTATTGCATTATTTTTTTTATTCGCTTGATAGATATATGCAAATTTCCTAAGATAACAGTACACTTGGCGACAAGAAGATGATTTGGATCGAGGCCAGATCCGAAACTCATGCTACTATTCTGTAATAACGGTATGTAGTTCACTTTGTTCGATTTCCAATTTTGACTTTCGCTGGATACAATGAATGTAATCAAACACGACACAAACGGTTAAGTCATCATTGATGATTTTTTGTAAGTTTATCTGAAACGAATTGCATTCTTAATATAAAAGAACTTTTTTAAAAACAAAGTCGATCATCTCACAAGTTTAAAGCATATTTATCATATTTCTCTAGAAGTTTGTGCGCTAGAAGTTTAAAGTCCGTTAATTAGAGAAACATTGTTTCGAAAAGAAATACATTGTTCACTAAAAGTTGATTAAAGATATCTTAATAACAGAATAACAGTTATAAATAGATTAACTATATAAATCACTATGTACACTTAAGTTATTTCTGTATAATTTTAAATAAAAAAATAATATTTCGAAATAGTTTTAAATGAACTGTGCTTACACTTTGCTATAATGATTGATATCAAGAATGATTGTTCATCTTTCTATATTTCTGTTACAAAATATCTTATCGAGCTAAGGGTGAGAACTCTTTTATTTATTTTCTGTATAAAAGATAAGTCACTGCGTTATCTAAAAAACTGAGTCTTTCAGATTAAATAAAATGTTTTTCTCATCTATGTTTCATTAATACTTTTTAATAGAATAAACGAAGATAATTTCAGATATGCTATTACTTATTCACTTTTTTCAACTTATCTGAATTATCAACAACAATGTATTTACATTAAATATATTTTTCTTACTGATTTATTTTGCATTGAAAACTTGCAGGGATAATCAATGTAAATTTTGCAGTGGAATGAAATTAATTTAGTCAGACATAACATGAAATAAAACGATAGTATATAGGTATATTCTCTGATACAAATTAACGATGCGTTATTATATTATAAGGTAATAAAATTGAAATTAAAAATGATAAAAGTAAAGAACAATAATCAAAATAATAATCTCAAGAGAAAAATAATTACCGGTTTTCCCTTATTTATACCACATTGACCATAATTGGTTTATAACATTAAATTCTATATATTTCATGTAGGTATAATATTTTATAATTAAATAATTTTATCATGGTATATATAAGTGTGCGTGTGTGTGTGTGTGTGTGTGCGTGCGTGTGTGTGTGCGCGTGTGTGTATGACGCATGTGTCAAGTTCGCTAAAACTGTAATTCATACTGACGTAAAAATCGAAAGTAAAATTATTCTATTCACCTGCTAATTCTACAGTAGAATAGATCAAGTTTGGTCAGACTCTTTCGTATTTTCTAGGCAATTTTCATACAATACCTCTTACTAGGTACTTGTAAAATTTTTCGAAAAGATCTTGTTGATAGTCAATGGTCGATTCATTGACTTGCCTCGTAGCATACCAAGATAACGGCAGGGTGTTGTTTGTTAGCCCTTGCCATTACATCTCACATACAAATGCCGAATTATCTGTAGAATTGTGATTCTTAGCAATGATTAACCGACATAGAAAGCTATTGTAATCGACTGAATTCAGATACCTGTACAGTCCTACAGTAGAGTAATGCGAGTTTGGTCAGACTTTCTATTAAATGTAGTTTTTCCATTCACAGTATTTATACCTCAAATTCTCATACTAAACTAATTGATTCTGTGAATTAAATAAGGACTCGTTATAAGTAGTCACGAAGAGTAGATTTAGTTGGTAGGCTATTATTTTAGTACATTAAATGTTATTATTGTTTCATGTTACTATCTCGATTTTCTGTTTGTTATAACAAATTAATTGCGCTTATAGCCAAATACTTACTTTAATTTAAAATAAGCGATTACCAAATTATGAGAAAATAAGTCAAGAATAAAACAGTTTGATTCGCTTCGCTCGGCGTTTGGCATGGAGATGAAGATGCTTGAATGAAGAGTATAAAATATACTTACAAAATCTAACGATTATTAATGCGAAACACGTTTTACAGTAATTGATTTGAAGAAAACGGAACGTGTTTATGATATTACCGTGAAAGTCAAACTTGATACTCTATGTATGTTTAGTAAAAGAAGCTGAATGGATTTGCAATACTTAGTATGTTAATATACTTTTATTTCTTTCTCGTAGATCTTAGAACCGGGTTTGGAGGATGCACTTATAAATAACTTAAGCGTGTGATTTTACTTGAGCGTCTATTATGAATGAATAAAAAGAGCTTGATGCAAAAGTTATTTATTGGAAAAAATGCACAGAAGAGTATAAGTAAGTAGACGCAATATAGAATAAAGAACGTGTCAGAGCAACGCAGCTGCTCGACTAAAGGCCCAGTCTCTACTAACTGTGGAAAAAGAGGTCCGTGCAAGCCAAGGGTCAAAGAGCAATAAAAAAAATTGCAGAGAGAGGAAAAGCGTTGAATGGAAAGGTAAATTTTAAGTGATAGATTATCTTACAATTTAAGTCGACTCATTAAGCAACACTAAACATAAATATTATAAAAACTAATAAAATTCAACTAACTTTACTAACTTTGATGTTACAGTTAACTAATACGATTCGATTTGATCTATTACATAAAAACGTTCACATTTTCTTTGAATACTTTCAATATTGCAAAAAAATGTAGCTTGCAATTAATCATTAGGAAGTGAATT